CAGAAGCATTATTTGTTTTCATTCCCCTTCAGTTTTCCCTACTCACTGGGAAGCTTCATGCTGCTAGAGCAGAGGGTTCCACTAGCATTGCTCAAAAATGATCTGAACAATGAGACAAGAGACACACTTGGGCTAGTAGGCTGCTGTCTCAGGCCACATCTACAGGATGGGAACTCTACCAGCATAGCTACAGTGCCACAGCTATGCTGGCATAACCTAACAGCGTAGACACAGCCTACACTAACGGAAGGGGTTTTTCTATTGCTGTAGGAACACCACTTCCCCAAGCGACAGTAGCTAGGTTGACAGAAACATTCTTCTATCAACCTAGCTACAACTTGGGGGTCTACACTGAGGGTCAGAAAACTATAGTCTCTCAGTGTTGCAGATTCTTCACACACCCAACCGACACAGCTATGTCAACCTAAATTTAAAGCATAGACCAGGTCTCAGACTATAATTATGTACCACAAGAGCTACTGCCAGATTTACGTACATTAAGGCTCAGTCTACAATTAAATTTAAGTCGACATAACTGTGTCACCAAGGGGTAGGAAAAATCCACACCAAGCACTGCAGTTATGCCAACTCAACTCCCAGTGCAGATGCAACTAGGTCAATGTAAGAGTATTTCCATCGACCTAACTACCATTGCTTGGGGAGCTGGTGTTCCTACAGCAACGGAAACACCCCTTCTGTCACTGTACGCTGCATCTACACTACAGTATTATACAGATGTAACTATATAGCAGGACAGTGCCTGTTAGGTAGACAAGGTCTAAGAGAAGGCAGGTAGCTTTCAAGAAGCTTTGGCCATAGCATCAGACACACACATTCAAGGTGGAGGGAGGTGGATCTGGGGACATGCAATTTTCCCTGCCCCACTGATCATGAGCCCTAACAGACCCCTCAATTACTATGGCTGTCCTACAGGAGGCCCACACCGCATGCTGGGGAAAAAATGGAAATAAAGATAGAACAAGAAAGATGGTGAAAACTTATTTTCAAGAAAAAATTAGCACTATAGCAAATAGATTTGACAGTACTTGGCAGAGATTGGGACTTTGGTTTCAAGACTAACAATGATCAGATGATCAAATTTCTCTCTCATATGGGCATTAGGTTTGATATTTAAGGTTTCAGTTTAAGTTAATATTGTCACAGTCTAGGTCAGGGGTAGGCAACCTATGGCACGGGTGCCGAAGGAGGCACGCGAGCTGATTTTCAGTAGCACTCTCACTGCCTGGGTCCTGGCCACTGGTCCGGGGGCTCTACATTTTATTTAATTTTAAATGAAGCTTCTTAAACATTTTAAAAACCTTATTTATTTTACATACAACAATAGTTTAGTTATATATTATAGACTTATAGAAAGAGACCTTCTAAGAACGTTAAAATGTATTACTGGCACGCGAAACCTTAAATTAGAGTGAATGACCGAAGACTCGGCACACCACTTCTGAAAGGTTGCCGACCCCTGGTCTAGGTTCTGACTATTGAAATTAAGGAAGTGATTCTGTGATTAAGCACAGAGTTGTGTTCTGCTTACAAACAGAAAGTAGTCACACTTACAAGGCAGTTTGAGTTCTAGCATGCCTTCCTTATTGAATGTTTACCAAAAAGCCTGAAGGAAACACTTATTTCTGGCCTATTACTCTAGTCAGCTGCCTCTTTTGCATTTAAATGCCTTCTACCAAAAACAAAACAAAAGGCAGCTATGTTTTAGACTCATTTTAAATAAAACAGAGAATGGCATAATCAGGGTAAAGTAAGAAAATGAAAAAAAGTCAGAGTTTTAACAAAAAACTACAGTGGATGAACAGAGAAGTGATTCTCCCTTCTATAAAAAGCACCTTCAGTGGAAATCAAGGCATGCATAACTGGGATTGTTTGCAAGTACAGCAACTTAAAGGTTTGGTACCAGCATCATTTATGACTTTGTGCTAATTGTAATACAATGATCTATTCAGAAGATTCACAAGAGATTCCATTGTCACTATTGAGGATTCACTCATAGGGCAACTTTAAATATTGCAGCTGGGACTGTTAAACCCTTAAAAAATGGGGGGGGGGGGGTGTGGATTTGGGGAGGGAAGGGTTTCTAGACCCTGAAGTTGCAAAGATAACCTACAACACACAAAAGGAGTATACGGGTTTGTCTTACACAGAGCAGCAAGGGGTCTGATTTCTAAAACACATTAACTGGTCTGGGCAAACCCTGCTGGTTCAAGCTAAAAGTTCCCTAATGTGCTTTAATACAGTGGTGTTTGAGCACTACGTTAAAGCACACTAGGAAACCTGATGCTGTGTGGTAAGGTCTGCCCAGACCAGTTAGTACACTTTAGAAATCATACCCCCATAGTGCAAATTGCTGCTTCATGTAGGCAAATTCTAAAATTATTGTTGTGTTGTCCTCTCAGAAAATCTGCAGGCAGACTACTCCAATGCCTTTAGTAGGGCTTCTCCAAACTGCAGCAAAATGGAAACGTAGGTCTATACTAGAAAAGGTTTGCCAGTATAGCTATACCAGCAAACTCTCCTAGAGTAGATGTATCAGGAAAAGAATGTTTTTGCCAGTATAATACACAGGTTCCCCAAGTAAAATAAGCTGTAATGGCAAAAAACACTTAAGCCAGTATAGAACCGCATCTGCCTCAGGATGGTTTGCCAGAAAAGAAGTATTGGAAGGAATAAAAGTCATCTTTCCCACACCCAACATTAGCATACTGGCGAAAGTTTGTAGCACAGACCTGGATTTAGCCTTGTCAGTCTTTACTGTTTCCCAGAAGACTACTCAGTGTTACTCGGCTACTACTTTGGAAAGCAATAAACAACAAGAACTGGAGTTATTAATTTAGAGTACTCAAAAAAATGAGGCAGGGCAGCATAGAGTACTGGAGACAAAAAAAAATGACACAAAAGCAAAGAAGGGACAGAGCAGAGCACCACACATTCCCATCGCAGTAGACAGGAAACTGGTAGATACCTCCCTCAATCCATCCATGAAGCAGTCAGGAGGCTCTTTAGAAATGATGACAAACTCCAAATTTATCAGGCAGATACTAGCTTGAAGGTAACTCCAAAGCAGAATCCAGGGATAGCATCCAGTAGGAATCCAAGCACCTTCCCCTTTCCCAGCAGCTGCAGCAAGGGAAAGTCTGCTTCTCACTCGGGCCATTGTCTCTGCAGAGTGAAACTCATCTTTCATATCAATCTTCGGCTAGTGGGTTTACTCTATCTGATTTCTTGTAAGTTTTCCAAACCTTGTGCGTGAGAAGATTGTATTAGTTAACTGGATGTGAGAGATTGTATATACTTATACCTGAGACTGATTTTGGAGAAAAGAAAGATATAAAGGGGGTGGGGAGAGGGAGGAAGAAAATGAAGACAATATAGGGAAAGAGAACAACATAGAGAAGAGTGAGAGTGTAGGTAAATAACCGTGATCTATCACAGGATAGGCTGTGTCCATTGAGGCACATTAACCCTGCATTATACAGGAGAGACCCCAGAATTAAACAGCTCTGCCTTTCAAAGGTCTTTCCTTCAAATTTACTCCAAACAGGGTTAGCATTCAAGCTAGTTGGTGGCTTGTACAATTTTCCATGCTCTGCTTATGAATGAAAAGCTGCTGTTTCTTTATCACATTTTCAATTAAGTCCCATAGCTCTTTGATTGAAAGTTACTGAGGAGCAGAAAACTATGATAACAGTCATAGTATTTTGACAGCAATTTTCAAACCCAGAAAAGTTTATTTTATTCCAAAATATTCTCCAGAGACCTGTGGCTATTAAGTTAACATGGATCACGCTGCTGCTGTAACTACCTTGACATGTGATGCAGTCTTCAATTTTGAAGTCAACAAACTCATAGTCTGGAGTTCCAAAACTGTCTTAAAGGGCATATCTATACTTACAGCATTGCAACGGCTGCTGTAGCGCTTAGTGAAGACACTACCTATGTTAAAGAGAGAGCTTCTCCAGTCCGTGTAGGTACTCCACCTCCCCCAGAGGCGGTAGCTATGTCCACCAAGTCAGTGTAACTATGTTGCCCAGGGGTCTGGATTTTCCACATCCCACAGCAAGGTACTTTTAACTGAAATATGTTTGTAGTGTACAGGAGGGCTCAGTGTTCTTAGATTCCCTCCCAAGTGCACAGCCAGCCTCTCTCTGGCTGGCAGGGATAGTAGATACTCAAGTTCTGCACACAATCCTATGGAAGTGAATGCTAACGTTAAGTATCAGAGGGGTAGCCGTGTTAGTCTGGATCTGTAAAAAGCAACAGAGGGTCCTGTGGCACCTTTAAGACTAACAGATGTATTGGAGCATAAGCTTTCGTGGGTGAATGCCCACTTCGTCAGACGCATGCTAACGTTATCAGTGTTACTGAACATTACTCTTGGTATTTAAATGGTCTTTATGCTTAAAAGCC